CCGATACATTCGCCGACAAGTAGTGTAAGCGGTGCGGAAAGGCGTTTATGGACGAAAATATTGCTTTGGCCAGCTGTGACGTCAAGTGTAGCGAAAGACAGGGAAACAGCTCTGTGGCTCATGAGAATGTTGGAAGGTGTAGACAACACCGCAGCATCGTTAAGGTCATCGCAGCAAACACGGACGATGGCAAGAGAGGCTGACTGAATGTCGGTGTCTTCACGCACGACGATTTTAGGTGGCTGATCAAGAGCTTCGTGCAGTGGTTTGTCAGACAGAGCCGAGAATTGAACTTGAGCGTGTGCGCAGTCGATGACGGCAATATGATGCGACAGGAAGTCACACCCAAGGATATCATGCCAGCACACTGAAAGGACGATAAGCTGTGCGACGTACATAAAGCCTTCATGCTAAACCACTAACGACGAAAATAGGCCTGTAATCCGAACTTTTGAGGGGAATTGCATTGCCACAGCCATTACTAGTCAAAGGATGAAAGATTCGTCTTTTCGGGAGTGACTGTCAGGCTACGAAATGTTTAGTCCTCAATAGTCTTGAGGGATGAAAGGTCAAGGAGTAAAAATTGCCCATTTATGAGAGGAAGTGACAGCGTAGGGACGAATTGTCTGTTCCATCAGTTGCTCTTTCTCGAAAAGAAAAATTATTTATGACAAATTCAGGTCGAATTCGCAAGAACTTAGTGCTGAATGAATGCATTTGAAGACATATACAATCGACACACAGAAGTAAGTTTAGAAGTAAACTACAGAAAACTCACGACAAATACACAGCATTCGAGCTCGTGACCGTTGGATCAGCAGTCGCGTACGCTAACCACTCTACCACACCCCAAGACACAGCAGAAAAAATTAGCGTGCTATATATGTAGGCACTGTCTGGACGCTGCGCGTTCTCCCATGTTGCTCAAATTAGGAAGGTTCCGCATATTGGACTTAAGCCTTCAGTGTTTGGCAAGCAACCCTTTGGTGATCACACTCATGAAGGTGTAAAATGCGTTGAATAGGTTATCTCTGCATGCGTGGTTCTAGCGAATTTGTGTGCTTGATGAGCATACGTATAGTATGTAAATGTTCTTGTGTATTTTGCCGTCGCTCTGTCAAGCCTTCTCACTTCTCAAAGTACAGAGCGCGTTGGCAATGTCGTTCAGCGAAAATATCTGTTTCATGACAAACGAAAAAACAAAATCATTTAAAGAAACAGCCACGTTTATTCAGCCACTCGTCTCGATTCTGCACCATAGTGCGCATAATTCAATTCCGCAACATTTATGAACACAAAGTATATGACAGCTTCCCTGTACTCTAGAAGAGACAATAAGAAGAAACAATGCTTCATTGGAATGGATGCTGCCAAGCCGACTTCAGGAAGTGCACCCACACCATTGACAGATGCTGAGAGCGTGTTCGTAGCTGCAAGATATTGACTTTCCTCGGAAGGTGCAACGCTTTCAGTCGTCTATTTCCTGAAAAAGTAATTGCAGAAGCAGTCATTATTTTAGGCAGAACAGTTCATGGACTTGTCTTCAATCTGTCTTTACAGACTTGCCAAACACTGAAGGCTTAAGTCTAATATGCGGAACCTTCCTAATTTGAGCAACATGGGAGAACGCAGCAGCGTCCTGACAGTGCCTACATATATAGCACGCTAATTTTTTCTGCTGTGTCTTGGGGTGTGGTAGAGTGGTTAGCGTACGCGACTGCTGATCTTACCTTCAATCGTGTAAAAAGTAGAGGAAAACTGCTTCTTTTACAAACCCGTCATAATGCAATGGAACAGTTCAAAAGATGCTATGAAGTTCAAGAAACACTGTTCTCAAGTTTAAGGCTTCAAGCTTTCACTGCGATACGCTTGTGGGCCCACTTATTTATCAACGAGGCTTGCGCTTCGTTTTAAAGGTATAAAAGTAAAACATGCTTTGCATTGCTACAAACAATCGAAATCACCGATGTGGTCACCGTGCCACTGTGAAGGGTGCCAAGCCAAGCTAGACATGCAATTTTAACAGCTGACTTTTCAAAGCTAGTTGTTTACCTTGTAAAAGATGACATTACATGCAGAGTTCAAGTGAATTTTCTTTTTAAAATCTGCGGAAATCTCTGATGAACAATCCTTATTTGTGCTGCCCTGAAAGCAAAACGATTTTTTGAACAGCTCTTCTTGCTACAGCTAATGGCTACCAGGTTTTGATGGCCCAGCCATCACATTTGTATTCTTTAGCTGACGGGGCAGCACTCGCAACCCGGTGTAGCGCGAGCGCATTAACCATGCGCATTTTGTTCGGGACGAACTTGAGCGTTAAACAAACGGTGCTCGTTACATATTAACAGCAAAGAGGCAAACCTCGCGGAGTGATGGCAGCCTACACTCACCTCTGAGGCAATATCCCAGTCGGCGCGTAGCATTTCAATAGCGCAGCATTTCATTCCAGTTAGCAGATCATGTTTCCTACAGCACAGACATGATTCAGTGCACCACCAGAAGCAACAACCACAACCACGTAACCACAACAGATCCACAACACACCATTACACCAACGAGAGTTAGCTTGCGGAGAGCACCACGCTACGCATTCATACAACTCGAACGTGAGCACTCATTTTTTAGGACGGGTGTTTAAACGTTGCTTATATGAACGTTATATGAGGTGTATTACTTTACTCCTGACGTAGTTACCGTAGTTATCACGACCATTTAGGCTAACAGCAACGGTTAACAGCTCATTTCTTCAGGAACTATTTGCTCACACGCAAGCTGACCATTTTTTCGAGGCCGCCACTGCGCCGGCAAGTTCCACGGGAGTAAACGTTGCTCTGTATAGTCTAACAGTTCCTCCTTCTGTTTGCATACGTCACTCCCGTCTTGCAGTTATTCCCTCCACGAACTCACTGTTGGTTGCAGGGACAAAATTCTGCACTTACTCTTATTCCGCTTCTTTTTCGCTCTTTAGCGTCTTAGTTGGATCACAGTACAGGTGCCGAGAGGACTAACTCGCAGAGAACTAGCCATCTGAAGCGATACTCCAGAGAGTGGCGTAGCCACTTTGCGCAGGGAGCAGCAGAGCAGCACTGGTGTCGGTGAGGGAAGATGTAGAAACACCATCGACAGGTATGGCGACGACGTAAGCAGGTGAGGAGCGAGGAATTTGGCATTTAGATAACGGGGCAGTTCTTGCCAGTGGAACTGTGGTCTTTGGTTTTCCCTGTTGAAGGGTTCGGGTCGGTGACGCATCGGGGAAGGTGATCACCCAGGAGGTGATGGGGAGCGGGGATAGTGATACTGAGATGAGGAGCGGGGCGACTGAGACTGGAGAAGGTCGATGTAGCCAAAGTGCGGTGAGGGATAGGGAGCACGTGGTAGCATGGGCTGTTGATCGTATGGGAACGGCCGAGTAGCATCGTGGAATGGCTGGAAGCGACAGTGCCAATGTTGGGCAACGTGTCCTGGAGTACTGCACGTGTAAAAAGTTGTGCGATTGTAAGGAGTGAGCCAGGAATCGCTGACTCGTGGCGCGGCCCATCGTGTCGAAGGAGGGGCGGAGTGGGGAGCAGGTGAATGCATGGCTGACAAATTCTGCTGGCGGGGCTTTGCATACTGCCTGGGCATATGTAAGAGATGCATAAGGAACAAGCAGAGCCACGGGCTGCCTGTGTGGAGCCACGAGAACGGCCTGAGTGAGCTCTTCAGCAACAACATGGTGGATCGGTGGGGGCCGACGAGAAGACGGCAGCTGCTGCGTGAAGGGAATCAAGGACAGTTGCCGAGCAACGCTTTTGCGTACAATATCCTTAATCTCTTGCAGAGACGGTTCGTGCTCGGGAACGAAATTAAGACTAGAGAACGAGTTGGCATGCGTGGAAAAAGGCCGAGTCAGGGCGTGCTGCTTCTTTAACTCGTCAAAACATTGACACAAGGTAACGAGTTCTGGAATGATGGAAGGATTACGGGCCAGGAGCACCTGAACTGCGTAGTCAATAATGCCTTTGAGGATGTGCTGAATCTTGTCAGGCTCAGGCATGGCGGTTGACATGGTTACAAAGACCCATGATGTCTCCGATGTAATTAGTGAATGACTCGGATGGCTTCTTTGTGCGAGTGCGCAAGCGTTGTTCGGAATGAGTTGTGGAGAACCAGGTCGCCAAAAACGTCAGCGAACGACATCTTGAAGATGGATCATGTCGAAATTTCGTTTTTGCTGTTGTTATACTACATTTGGGCATTATCAGTAAAGTAAAAGATGATGTGAGTCAACTTGTCCATGTCATCCCACTTGTTAGCGCTCACCAGTTCGTAGTGGGTGAATCAGTCTTCGATGTTGGTCTCATCAGAACCGTCGAGGACCTTACGCTCTCGCAGACGAGGAGCACAGGGAGTTGCTGTAGGACAAAGGAGAAGGGTCAGGTTGCGCATTGTTGGTGGTCATGATTGGAAGAAGCGTTTGGTTGCGCAGCCCCATGTTCAGGTAATGGAAAATGGCAGCTGCACGTTTAGGTGACGGGGAATGGCAGCACCCTCCACCAATTGAAAAGGGGTTTATTGACAGTGTTCTGCGAAAGCAGCTCCATGAACGAAACGCAACTGGAACACGGCAGCGTTCAGGCAGATACTGGCGCCGATAAGCGCGAGACGAGCGAGACGAGCCAAGAAGCCTGTACTCAAGCGTTGGCGATGCTGCTTGCCAACGATGCATCTTCTTCCTCACGATAATTATATTTGCTATAGGAAGCCTAAAACAACTCTACCGTACAATCGTGGTTCATTACCAACGTTAATCAGGAACCATAATGACTGCAAAAATATTTGTGAAACGTGATCAAACGTAAAGCGTGTGGATTGCCTGACCTCTGTTTCCGCTTTCTCGTACAAGCACTGAGCAAACATTTCTATACGTACATGCTGTTGAGTGCATTTAGGTGGGCTATGAGAATGACATGATATTAAAACTGCTCATGTGTGTTCAAAACCTTCTTTTTTTCATAAAGCTTCGCAGGTAGCTAAGTGACTGCCGCTCCAGCTGTGTAAGTTGCAGCAGACGTTCGTCTCAGGAAATGGCTCCACCTACTGCGAGGTGACGTCACAGGATCACTCGCGGCCGACAAATGATCAAGAAAGAATCGTCCATTGCATGAGACTGACACTTCATTGTAAGGTGATCCGGAGACACCCATTGTTCCGGAGCTGGCTAGGGAACTACCTCTGCCGATTTTAGAGTAATCGTGGACATTGAGCACCAGTGAAGCGCAAGTATACGACGTGAGGCCCCCTGCGTACAGACGACGACTACCACGTGTGGAACGCGTCGATGTGATCACTCGGGTCTGTCTCCCCAGCGGCAGGAGATCCCAATGAAATGTTCCAGTGTAGCCTTGGGCCTCGCCACCGCTCAGCTTGTTGCGGGTCTGGGCCTGACCGTGCTTCCCATCCACACCATGCTCAAGTTGCCGTCGCTAGCCACTAGGGACTGTCCACTATGGGCCGCTGGACCGGTAAGCCAATTTCTAGCCACTCAGTGCCTCACTGCTGAGCTCTGCTGCAGTCTAATATTTTAAGTAAAAAGAGCGAGCTTAAGAAACCTAATTGCTTAAAATTATGTGAAAGAAAAAAATGTGGGAGACTTCTACTGGCTATCAATATACATACCAAAGGAGTCCAACCAAGGCTCAGAGATACCACTTGGATTGATTGATATGTGGGGTTTAACGTTACAAAACCACTATATGATTATGAAAGACGCCGTAGTGGAGGGCTTCGGAGATTTCAACCACCTGGGGTTCGTTAACGTGCACCCAAATCTGAGCCCACGGGCCTACAACATTTCCGGCTCCATCGGAAGTGCAGCCGCCGCAGCCGGGATTCGATCCCGCGACCTGTAGATCAGCAGCCGAGTACCTTAGCCACTAGACCACCGCGGCGTAGCTAATATTCATGCAAGCTCGAAACTTATTAATGTGGTCAACAGCACTATCCTGCGCTCCAGACCCGACGAAAAAGTTTCAGCGTCAAAATGTATACACATCCTTCAAAAACTAGAATTCTGCTCTCAATATACGTGCCTCGAAAATAATTCAACGAAAACTAAGGTATTTTTTTTTCACGCCAAAAATAAATCAGTATGGATTTAGAGCAAGACTTTTCCTGTGACAGACACAATTTTGAAATTAATAATAAATGTAAAATTCTTGGTGTTAAACTCCGCTCGAATCAATCATGTACCACTCAGATCGACAATTTGTGCAAAAAGCTCTCCATGAGCACAGGAGCTTTGTCGTGTTGCCGTACTGTTCCACCACTGCAACTGAGAATGCAAGTTTATTACGCAGTCTTCGCATCACACCTTAATTATTGTATTCTGGTATGGTTTACCACTACACAACCCAACATCACGAGAATTCGCTTATTACAAAAGAAAGCCACGCGCAATAATGCCAATAAGTCTTTCAGAGCATAATATTTCGAGTCGTACAACATTACGAAGATACATCACCTGTACACATTCCGTCTTATGCGTTTATTTTATGTGTCGTCGCTCACTGTCAAGCATTGCATCACCTCAATTGCATCACGATCCACTGGCCTATGGCTAATACCATGTTTCCGTACTTTTTATGAACTGCAGTCCTTGACAGACAACGTTCAATGGATTCTAAATCGAAATAAAAGTATCAGGAAGCCCTTTCATTTACATCGGTACGTCAAATATTTATTCGATCCTCAGTATGAGTACTTCATTACGCGATAGGCAAAAGCAATTTCTAACGAAACGTCTATACATCTTTTTCAATAAATTTTGTAGCGAATTCGCTCAGTATTCATTTATGTTTGGTATTTTATTGTTTCATGCAGTTGATTACTATTTTTCTTTGTGCATTGCACATATTTAGCTATATTTATATCGATGTGCATGTACACACGTTTGTGCATTTCGCGTTTATCAAATAGGTGTAGCCTGCTTTTGTTTTTCTCTCGTTAATGTGTTTTTCTTTGTATGAATAAGATACATTTTGTCACTATGTTTAATTACTATATTCTTTATTGAGTGTATACATACATTGCATATCTATTCGGATGAACTGTTACTACTGGCATCTTTCATCTGATATGTTTCTATATATCAGGCATGTATATCAAGGTTAGGCGAGACGTGTGCCTTGAGTTTAGCCCTGCCTTGTGATTCTGGTTTTCTGGCCTTTGTGAAGCAGCAAAGCACAGCATTTAGCCATAAATTCAAATGTATTTCAAAAAATAAAAACATGAACTTGAATTATAAAAGCTCGTTTTTTATAGACAACAAACAATGTCGCCGAAAACAGTAAAGGGGTATCATTAGTTGCAATGGTATTGAAGGAAGAAAATTGGACGAAAAGATGGCTTTTTGTGGGTACGGTCTTCAAATAACGCGTCTGGTGACCTGAGCTACCATGGTGGCGCCCCGCGGTCAACATTATGGGGTATGCATGGGCATTGAAACAAGGGAGTGTTGAAAGACAATAACAGCTCCGCGCTTTTCTCTTCCCTTTCCTCATCAAAGAACCTTAAAGAAGGGAGCGTTCCTCAGTGCCGCTACTAGCCATGATGGTGAGTGTGGAACGCTGGTTTTCTACCCAATGCTGTCAGGTTACGCGTGATTTTATTTACGAACTGGCAGTTCACCAATAAACCTTCGCATATAATCTTTGAAAGCCTTTGAAAACGAGTGCTACGTGACGCGAGCAGACTGAAAAAGAGCGTTCCACACTCGCCAAAAAAGGCAGCGCTGACTTGAGCTTCAGCGTCTAAATGCACATATATACCGCATAAAGTGCAAGGTCGATGGCCGCTGTGGTAGCTCAGTTGGCAGAACATCGGACGCGTTGTTTGAAGGTCGCAAGCAACGTTCCTGCTTGCGACAGGCTATCTTTTCGTCTACTTTTTTTTCTTCACATTTACAATAGAACTACTGCTCATAATATGCCTTATATTTTTCTTGGCAGTATTGTCTGTCAGTTCTGATTGTTACTGTGTCTGACTAAACAAAACAAGCCCTTCGATTTGCCACTTTAACCTATGAAACTTCAAGTATTATCGCTTGCGATTGCATTAGCTTTTGAATAAACTATGTTGTCTGTGTTGTGCACGTAATCTTGTCCGAAGACTATAATGTCACGGTGTCGTGACGTTAACAAAGGAAGCACAGTGTAGGTCGAAGATAAAACCGTTTATTTGAGCCCAACTTCTGGCGACGTAAAAGGGAAGTCAGATAAAAGCAAGGCACTGGCGCTGATAGCGACGGACTGAGCGTCAGCCGTCGATAAACTGACCAACGGCGATGCACGTCGGCATTTATACGTGTGTCGCCGAATGGTCGAGCGTTATCGCTGGCGGTCACCTATGTTCCAGAACAATCTGTGATGTTCGCTTTCTGCACGGAATGACATCGAAACGTTCTACAATTATCTCCGTGGTTCTTTAGTTAATCGGCGTGGCTGCTCCAAGCAGCGCTCACACGTGTGATAGGGTGATAACAACACTCGAGAAAGGAGCGTGGCATTGCCCCTCTCCGAAAAAGTCATCGTTCCTATGATAAAAAAACAAGGGGGGTCGCGTGTACAACAATTACAACAATGACAACAATAAAGCAACCAAGTATCATAATAAATGAGTATACAAGCAATAAATCACAATTTTGGAGAAGTGATAACAAAGAGTACAGTTCTTAGGTTCGTTAACGCTCATAAAACGGCGTTAACCACAAGACATGAAAAACTTAAGGTTACGCTCGCCGTCATTGAGAGTTATTCATGAAGCAGGAGATAACCCAACCCCGCCGTAGTGGTCTAGTGGCTAAGGTACTCGGCGGCTGACCCGCTGGTCGCGGGTTCGAATCCCGGCTGCGGCGGCTGCATTTCCGATGGAGGCGGAAATGTTGTAGGCCCATGTGCTCAGATTTGGGTGCACGTTAAAGAACCCCAGGTGGTCTAAAATTTCCGGAGCCCTCCACTACGGCGTCTCTCATAATCATGCGGTGGTTTTGGGACGTTAAACCCCACATATCAATCAATCAGGAGATAACCCAGTAGCCGAGTGTGCCGAGACATGGAAATACCCTGCATGGTCTGAAATACGATCGCAGAAGATTTTCACTGAGGCCACGTCGGCGGATCGGTGTCCATACGCAAACGTGGTCACCGGGCTGGCATTCCATGAAGCTTCGTCAAAAATTGTATCAGTGGTTTTCATCTCTGTGGTTCATCGGCAGTTTTTTTGATGCGCATGCGGCTCAAGGCTAACGACGTGGGTGGCATGTTTCAGGTCCTGCCCGGCACTACTGAGTGTTCGCGTTGCAGCCCGGTACGGCTTCGTAGTCCTTAGCGTTGGAACAGTGTCGTTTTTGGGTAACATGTCGGTGATGACTTTATGCTGGCGTTACGGTACACCATTCTTCTTTGTGTGGTAGCGGTGGTCCTGCACTTGCAATGACCTGTCTCGCTCCTCCACTGAGTGGTTTAAGTCTGACGTAAACATGGTCCCTAAGCTGGCGATGAGGTCATCATCTGAAGCGCATATTCAGACCTGGGTGTTTTCTAAGAAAACCTTTGCTTCCTCAGCACGCTACCTTGGGCACAACTGTAGCGCTGGCGTACCGCGCAGTGTCGGCGATAACGCGTTACAAGAAACGCCGTTACCAGTAACGCGTTACTTTAATTGGTAACTTTATAACGTAATCGTTAGAATTTCAGAGCTGTCACCGGTATCGTACTTACGTTACGATTTTTCGGCAACCTGTGGCGTCCGTTACCCTCTACATTTTTATCCTGTGAGTGCAATTTCACCAGATATAACCACGACTAATTCTTCTGACGCAGCGTCTGGCTGGTGTTAGCCTGCCAAGTATGGACAAAGAACGCACGGCGGAATTACTCCTGTTTGTGGAAATCGTGGGTAGAAATTTTATAAGACAAGCCGACTCCCTGTGAGGACCATTCCCACACAAAGCTTGAAGAAAGCCGCGGAATCCACCGCGAGAAACAGCGCGGACATGATTTTCATGGAGGTAGAATGTAGCAGGTCGATCACTGGCATCTGGCCTTTGCGTGCCCGAAAGACAGGGAAAGCGCATGGGTTGGTTTACGGCATACCATATGTTAATTGTAGCACTTAGTCTAGGGGAAAGCGAAGAACTCTTCCCGAGGATACCATAAAAATGAAGTCCATTTGGTTCCAGTGAAAAGAAGTATTAATGATAATACTAATACTAATACTAATATTATAATAAAAAGAATAATGTTATTACTAGTTATAATGATAAATAGTTTCTTTAATGTGCCAAGCAACGACAATAAGATGTTTGTACAGGCGTACGCAAAAAAGAGACTTTAAAAAATAATACATTAGTCTCTACCGATGAAAAATCTAATAAAATTGAAAACGTACAGACAAAAAGAAGTCATCGCAAAATGGAAAGACTCAAGGACAAAAGAACAATCATGAAATGATAGTAAAAAATAAA